TAGTTTGCTGTTTGCCATTTACAATCTTGTTGGCAATACATACATTGTATGGATTGAAAATAAAACCATGTTTCTCCATGTCTCCTCTCAACTTTTTGTACCAGAGCATAGAGGCCTCTAACATCCCGTAGATGGCTCATAATACTCTCATGTAAATCACTCGTTTTCCGTTTTCAATTACAACGTAATCACAATACCTTGGCTCCAGTCGTATCATCATGTTGACCAATAAACCAGTGATCTTCATCATCACTCTTGATTTTGCATCCATTGGCATTTGAGTCTGGATAAATGCATTTGGAATATCCAAAGACATCATGTCTCGTTCTTCACATGCATCAATTACACATGTGATCATAATCGCTTCCAATGCTGCAGTCGGAATTGAAGTATCCTCTCGAGAAAGCCATTCTCGAGTTCCATCTCCTTTGTATACACATCTTCCTTTTATTTCACCAGTGTTTTTCTCTGCTAATAACATCATAGCATCTTGGGCTCTTCTTTTTTCCAAATCAGTCATGTCTTCAACATGAATTGGTTCCCAACATTCTCTTTGTATCAATTGGTCAAGTGCTTTCATCACAGCCTTATTACCTTCTTCTTTGAATAATTTCAGTCCCTTGTTTAGGTAGTATTGTTGTATAAACGATACTCCTTCATTTTGAATTTTATCCTTGATTTGTCGCATGAATCGCACAATCAGAGTTGCCTTATCTTTTCCATATTTGGTTTTCTTGTCACTTCCAACCTGTTGGAATAGTAGATTGTATTTCGACTCTTTTTTGGAATCCTTTTCCTTGAATTTTCCTTCATTGAAATTATTTCATTCAAATAACCTTTCAATTTCTTGACTTTTTCCTTTTTTCTCATCGCACTCCTGTTCTTTAGCAAATTACACTTCGGTTTCTTTTGATTCAGGTATTGTTGATTATACCTTGGTCGATCCCAATTATTACGTTCGGTTGGTCTCATTTTTATTACATCTTGAACATAAGATTTACCACTACTGGTTTTCCTTGGACTGAATATGTCCTTTATCATCCAAATTTGCCACAAATTCGCGAACATCATTCTATGATTTCATCTTGAATTCGATCAATTAAATCGTCATTTTCCTCATATGTTTCATGGGTTTCCTTGATTTGTTCTTCATCGTTAAGCGATTCGACATCTTCCTTGTCTTTCTGTATGTCTTCTTCAATTTCTTGAATCTTTTCATTCAAATCTTCATCATTCTGATATTTTTCATCATCATCATTTCTCCGTCTCAATCGTTCATAAATACTTGCAACACTCCTGTCTTCTGTCTGTTCTTCAACATTTTTGGTGTGCTCATTTTCATAGTTTTCAATAAATTCTTCCGCTTCTTCAAGTAAAGCATCAATTTCATCTTGATCAATCTTTTCATTACAAAGATTCTCATCACTTCCTTTGCGATTGCTCATCCTTCTCAATCGCTTTGGATTTCGCAGACTCCAATTGGGCCTAAAAGAGTTTCAATGATGTTTTTGGGCTGACAGTTGTTACTAGCTGTTGGCCCCCAATGGCTGACAGTTGTTACTAGCTGTTGGCCCCCAATCCCCCAGCGCAAGCGCTGGTTTCCTCCAAGGGTGAGGTGGGACTAGGGTAATCTTAATAACTATCTATTCCTAGACTTCAAATTCACTCTGTC